ACTCATTTAGCATCCATCACATTAGGATTACAGGAAGTCATAAATGTTGATCCTGGTTATCTGGAATATCCCCTCAAAAAAAGAAGGGCTGGGCAAATTTTTAACAATAAAAGGAAATTTGGCCTATTGTCATTTTGAAAAACTGCTATTTATAATACCTGAATGATCGAAATAATTTCATTTTAAGAGGGAGATTTCACTAGCATCAAGATTTTCTCATGGAATGTCTATTCACACTTTATAGAACACCAGATTTCCATAGCACAGTTTCAGAAATGTTGCCATCGTAGATATCGTTGACATCTAGACTTTATAAAGTACTTTGTAGAAACTCTTCCCACTGATGCAGACCATGCATCTAGTTTTCCCACAATTCCTCCACAGAAAAGCTCTCCAAAGTTCTGGAACCCTTCCATCAAGGCTTATTAACAGTTCATGTTAAAACCTAGTTACAAAGTTTCTTTCTCCCTAGCACAGAGCCAGGAAATTTACTGCTGTCATTAAGGAAGGAAATATGGGGTGGTTTCCTTTCCCACAACTTATAGGTCACCATTAATTAAGAATTAATTAAGAAGGAGGCAAGGCATGCCAATATCAGACTTTGCCTTCTGAGAAGAACCAGTGCACAAGCTTCCTGGGTTTAGTCTCCATCCGTGAAGTCAGACTTTGGAGTAATCTCACACTTCTGTTAAAGCTGAAAGGGATCTTAGATATCAAAAAGCAAAAAGGTATTGATTTACATTAGGAAGTATTTTCAAGTGAAATAGTAACATAAATTTTCTACCAGTTGGCAAACTAATGTTTGTTGCTGTTAAATCATTTTTCGGTCATGTCTGACTCTCTGTGACCCCATTTGGGGTTTTCTTGGCAAAGATACTGGAGTGCAGATTAAGAGTTTGACTCTTGAAAGTGAAAATATTTATGTATAGTAACTAACCTAACTTTCAGCAGAATTTCTCTGCAAAGAGCATTTACAATGCACCTGCATTGATAGGTTCAAAGATGTCAGTCAAGATGGGCACCCTGGAGTCGTCCAATCCAACCCAAACCAGCCCAGTGATTTCACTGAGATCACCCAGGTAACAAAAGTGGCCGAGCCAGCATCTGAGCCAGGGTCCCAGACTCCAGGTCAAGCACTCTTTCTGCTGTACCATATATTGATTCCATAGCTTCTATTTTTGTTGTTATTTTCCTGACTCCAAATAACACTCAAAAGATTTTTTAAAAATCTGTCTCAAGGGGTTGTTCCATTGGCCAACTCCATTTAGAAGATGTTTTTACTGAAGTCATAGGTAGCACAAATAAAAGGATTTCGATTCTTAAGCTCATTAACAGTGAGTTTAAAAAAATGCGAAAATTATAGATTGTGTTTATGTTTTGATCCCCTGGTAACTAAAAAACTTCTAACACTCTTGAAGCAAGTCAACTTCTCAAAACTGTAAGTAACTAATCATCCCCTCAAAGGCAGAACATCTCTTTAAGCTGTAATAGTCAATTAAATGTTATAAACTTAATTACATAAAGCCTTAAATTTGTAGGAGGAATCAGAAGGAAACTATCATTATGGCTTTATCAGTATCAAATAAATAAATGGTAGGGGTCAAAGCAGGGAAGAGAAGAGCCCTTAATAATGCCAAACTTGTATTTTTGTTTTTCTTTCTCTGCACCACCTTAACTAGTGTGTGAAACAAATCTATATGTAATAAAATTCACTCCACGCACAAATGTAAAAAACTAAAAGGAACATTGGTTATGCTCCAGTTAAGAAAATTTATTTTAGATCAATATTTAAAAGCTCAAATAACTACGTTATTTTCCATATATAAAATCAATGTCAGCATCAAAATTACAACCTAACTTCATCCTTCCATCAATTTACAATTAAAAACCAAATACTCAAAAATATTATAGCAATTTTGTGGTATTTAGTAATGATAATAACAGAAGAGTTTTATTTAAAAAAAAAAAAACAAACCAATAACAACACTACATATCTCCCTCTGGTCCCATTTGTGTGTTGTGTTGCTATGCTGATGTAACAGCAGTACACCAGAGCAGTACTATTAAGAGTTGAAAAACAATAATGTCAAGTTCAAAACAAATTTACAGAAAAATTATTTATGCTAAATACAAATTGCTCAAAAAATAAAAATGCCCCGAAAACAATGTTAAAGCACTGTGAAAATAGTTTATGCTTTTTTTATAGAATTTATTTGTAATTATAATTAATGAACATTTAAGTTTATATGACTTTTTAATGTTTCAAATGAAACTAATGGCAGCAGTACGGTATTAGAAAGAGTACACTTGATTAAGAATCAGAAGACCCATGTTTAAGTCCCAAATCTGCCACTAGTGGCCATCTGGGGTAAGTCACTAAAATGTTTTGGGTTTCTTGACCTGTAAAATGGGTATAAAAATAATTGAAGGCTTACCTCACAGAATTGTTGTGGAGTTTAAATGAGAATGTATGGCAAGCACTTTATGATCCAGAATGCACTAAGAAAAGTGAGCTATGATTGTTGCTCTTCTCTAAGCCCCACCCCCAGCCATTCCCTTTCATTCTACCTGCTCCCAACGCCACCCCCTATGGCACAGGTATGAGGGGACTAACTGGACCTGCCATTTCCTTGGGATAGGGAGCTCCCAATAAGGGAACCCCTTCCACCAAGGCAGAGCAAGTATGGGCATGGAGGTGAAAGGAACTGCCTGTAAACCAGAGCCAGAATGTGTCAGAGGCAAGCCTTGAACCCAAATATTCCTCACTTATCCACTGGAACATGCTGTACAAATTTTGTTGTTGTTCAATTGTTTCAGGTGTGTCTGACTCTTCATGACCCCATTTGGAATTTTCTTGGTAAAGACACCACAAGTGCTTTGCCATTTCCTTCTCAAATCATTTTACCGATGAGGAAACTGAGGCAGTTAAATGAGTTGCCCACAGTCACAGAGCTCAGTAAGCATCTGAAACCAGATTTGAATTCAGGAAGATGAATCTTCCTGACTGCAGGCCTGGGGCTCTATCCATCTACCTGCTCCAGGGTCACAGGTGGGCAAACCAAGGAAAAAGCTGCCTACATGGAGATATAAAAGACTTTGAAGGGAGCCACTATCCCAAATCCTCTTCTTTTTCCTCTCTCTTGGGCAAACAATCAATGCAGGACTAAGTCTAACCTGCAACCCAAGCCTCACCCCTCCCATCCCATGAGCAATTAAAAGACCAAACACAAGCCAAGCCGCCCCTCACCCACCATGAGAAGGCAGTAGCCATAGACTTTCAAAATGCATATTCTTTTGCTAATTTCATTACTTGCTATTTTGTAAAGTACATTAAGGTATTTTACGCCTTAATGAGGGGACACATAGGCAAGAATTGCAAAGAATGAAAAAGTCCTAGATTGGTTACCTGTTTATGAAAGAAAAACACAAAAGAAACAAAAACAAACAAAAAAAAAGTCAGCTTCCTGAAGCAGATGTTACAGCATTATTAAAACCAAGTTTTAAAGCTCTAATATTTCAAATGCTTAGTTTTGTGTTTTTTTTCTTTCTACTGAGAAATAAAAGCTGATGAACACAAGAATAGAATGAACTTTAAAAAACAGAATCAACGATTTGGAGCTGGAAGGGACCTTAGAGATCCTTTAATTAATTTCTCTCAATTTGGAAATAAGGAAACTGAGACCCACAGAAGTGGGATTACTTGGCCAAGGTCACAAAGGTAAGGCAGTTCGAGGTTGTACCCCGATTTTTTCCACTCCACCAATCTGGAGAACTCTCATGTGTGCTCAAGCACACAAACTCTTCTGTTCAAACACGATTTTGCCTTTCCTGGGACCTTGTTCTGTGGGCTGCCTCAAGTTTCTGAAGAGCAGAAAAAGGGATCCCTAAGGATCTATGGCATTTGAGCATTTCTAGGAGGAGGGCGGTGGGGACTTGCCTATAAGTTGTATTCAAAAAGAGTAAAGTGAGCATTTCTATTAGGTGGCATTTTTATTAGAAAGTATTCTCCTGGGGTGAAGGTTGAAAGGATAGAAACTGATGGACATAATGTGAATGGATGAGGCTGCAAGTTTGCAAGTTGCCTTTTGTTTCCTCTGGTTTCATGCCTTTTTTTTTTCCCAACTGAATCTTATTTTAGTATGCTAAGTACTGTAATTTTTTAAGTCATCCATGAGAAAAGCCAAAAAACTCTAAGCCACCTTGGTTTGAGGTTTTAACAAAATGTACAAGGTTGGTTTTGTTTTCCGTGCCCAGTGGGATGAGCCCTGGGTCTAGAGTCAAAGAGCCAACGAGGTTCAGATGCCAGGCTTGGTTTACCTGGGTGACCTTGGCTAAGTCAGTCATCTGGGTCCCGGAGCCTCGACTCCCTCATCCCTTGGCATCTGTAGCATGAGGGGGTTGGGCTGGTGCCCTCTCCGCTGCCTTCCAGCTCTGCCTCTGCACCCCATTGCCTTGATTCCCGGGGTCCTCGGTCTTTGGGGGGTCACGGGCCCCTTGGGGAGGTCCTCCTGGAGGGAGGCACTGAATGCACCCACCGAAGCACCAGGGACCCTGAAGCAGTCACGGGAGCTCGGGATGCCTTTTTTCAAGGCCAAGGCACCCAGGTTCGGAAGCCCCGCGTGGGGAGGGCGGCCTTGGGAAGGACCCCGGCTAGGGATCATCGGACAGGACCCCGGGGGTCACCCAGACCGGGCCCCGCACTGGCGAAGCAGGGACCCAAGGCCGCGAGCGGGATTCGAACCCAGGGCCCCCTGGCTGCAGGGCTGGGGCTGGTCCGAGGGGCATCACTCGCTCAGGGAACCAACTGTCAAAGTTTGGAGGCGTTCCCCCATCCCCTCCCCCACCCCTCCGCTGCAGGTGGGTGTCGCCGGCAGCCGGGCCCCCTCCCCCACCCCGCGTCCTCCTCCGCCGCCGCCCGCCCGCCCGGCCGCACTAGGCCGCACAGCCCCGGCCTCGCCCGGCTCCGCGGTCGCGTCCTCCCCGGCCCTCCCCGCGCTCACCAGATCTGGAACTTGAGCAGCGGCCCCGTGGCGTACTGCATCTTGAGCCGCTTGCCCGGCACGCCGCCCGTGTCGGCCGAGGCCTCGCCCCGCAGCGCCGCCGCCGCCATGAGCAGGAGCAGCAAGAACCTCATCGTCTCGGTGCCGCAGCGGCCGCCGCTCAGCCTGACACTGAGCAGGACAGGGCAGGGCCGGGACCGGCGGCGAGCAGCTGCGCGTGCCGAGCCGAGCCGAGCCGAACACCGGCCGAGCAGAGCCGAACGGGAGCGCGAGCGCGAGGCGAACCAGAGCCTGAGTGCGCGCAGGCGCAGGGAAGAACTCCTCCTCCCTCCACTTCCCGCACACGCGCACGCGCACGCGCGCCTCACCCTTGATTGGGCAGAAGGAGCGCTGCGCGCAGGCGCGCCACTAAAGGCGACCAGGCAACGCTGAATTCCTGCGTGCACCTTTCCTGACCCAGAGACATCTGTTTGGTGCTGGAAGGAAACTGTAGAGGCGTCCTGGCGGCTCTGTGGACTTAGTTCAAATCCTGCTTCAGACTCCATCGGACTGCACAAATCACCTTGGCTTTCTCAGCCTCAGTTTCCTTATCTGAAAATGGAAACAATTACAGCCCCTACTTCTAGGGTTGTGAGGACCAGATGAGTTAACATGTGTAAAGTGCTTTGCCCTAAATAAATGCTGGCTGTTATTACTGTTTTTTGATGTTGTTAGTGAAAATCACCCAATTAAAAATGAAAAAGTCTTCCAGTCCCGGAACCTTCCTAGCCCCCCTTAATACTAGTGTCTTTCTTCTTAGATTAAATCAGCGAGCATTTAGCAAGTGCCTACTATGTGTAAGGCACTGTGCTCTGGAGCTGCAAAGAAAAGCAAGATTAAAGCACTTCCTGCCCTGGAATCATGATCTGATGGGGAAGACAACAATGCAAACAACTATGTGCAAATAATCCAAGAATCAATAAACATCTGTTAAGAGACTACTATGTGCCAGGCTGTGTGCTAAATTCTGAGAATTCTAAAAGAGGCAGAAAGCCCCTTACTGTAAAAGGCTCAATGGGAGAGATAAAATAAAGACGAGATAAAAATCATCTCAGAGGGGTGGCGTTAAGATTAGGACATGAAAGGTTTATTGTAGAAAGGTAGGTTTTTAACTGAGACTTGAAGGAAACCAGGACATAGAGATAAGGGAGAAGAAGAAAGTGAAAGTACCCAGAGTCTGGAGATTAAGTGCTTGGTGTGATTATCTCCCTTTACCCTGTATATATCCTGTTTGTACATAGTTTTTACATGTTGTCTCCCCCATTAGAATGTAAGCCCCTTAAGGGACCCTGTTCTTGCCTTTCTTTGTATCCTCAGTATTTAACACAGTGCTTGACACATGGTAAGCCCTGAATAAATGCTTTCTGACAGTCCAACTGCCTTATTTTATAGATGAGAAAATTGAACACCGGAGAAATGAAGTGATTTGCCTACAGTCACACAGTTTACAATAAATGGCAAAGGTGAGATCTGAACCCAGGTATTCTAGACCCCAAATCCAACACTCAATTGTCATTTTAGAAATAAGCAAAATGAAACCCACAGAGGTTTAGACCTGCCCAAGGTGAAACAGATGATAGCTAACACTTATAAGGCACCTTAAGGTGTGCCAAGCACTTCACATATATTATCCCACTTGATTTGATTCTCACAACTCTCTGAAGTATATGTCATTGTCCTCACTTTACCAATTAGGAAATTGAAAGTTAAGTGACTTGCCCAGGGTCACACAGCCATTAAATGTCTGAGGAAAGATTCAAACCCACATCCTCTGACTCAAAGTGTGCTACAAAACACTAATCTCAGGTAATAGGATCTCATAAATTATGACTACCAGATTATTATCTCCCAGAATGCAAAGTAAAGTCAAATAAAAATAAATAACACAACCTATTATATTCAAGACTGATATCCAGAGCTTAAGCGCTGCAGGAAAATAAACCAGTTTTATTATACTTCAGATCAAAATATAGCAAGAAAGAAATTGTACAGAACCAGTATACCTACAGAGGAATTGGAAGATTCACTAACTAGTTAAATCAATTCCACAAACTGAGAAAAGTTGATTCTGCAATCATTGTGCAGAAGGGGATTCAAAGTTAATTAGTATGTAGTCCTTATCCTTGGAAGCTTAGAGTTTTGCATTTGTGTGAACAGAAAAAGCTCGGATATGTACAAATAGCTAAAGGAGTCAATAACTAAGGTGAATTTTCATTTTCCAAAGGCATTGCTTACTTAAAATATAGTCATTCCAATAGACCCTCCTTTCACTGTCTGGATCTGTAGCACTCTTACTTCTTGTAATATGAAGTTGGCAACATTTTGATTCATGCTTCTGAAATAATATTTTAAGGGAGATACTTAAATTCGCCTTTGTTTCATGATTTGAATTTAAGTGTTTGTTGTACCGGCTGCGCCGACCTTGTGCCGGCCCGCCGTACACTCTCCTCCTATAACGAGAAGGCTGCCAGAGTCATACTACTTACCAGTCTTCGGAGCCTACCCGGATACACACACAGAGACGAACCCATCAGGAGGCTGCCAACACCCGAGCTTTATTCAGAGGCCATCACAGCAAGGCCAAGCAGGAAGGCCAGAACAACAGAGCAGGAGCAAAAAGAGCGTGCGCTCCTCACCGCTACCATTCCTAAGTACCTACTAAGCCCCTCCTCCTCAGCCCGCCTACTAGTCAATGATTGTAGGGTCAGATACCGGAAGGGGCTGTCTCAGTTTAGCACACCAAGGGAGAGGAAGTGACGCAGGAGGCTAGGACTGGATACAGGAAGGAGGCGTCTGGGATTAGTGCATAGACAAAGAGTACGTGACCCAGGAAGTCAGGAAGGACACAGGAAGGAGGTGTCTGGGGTTGACGTTGCACTTAGGGAGGGGACTAAGCAAAGGGAACTCGTCCTCTGCCGTCCCACTCCCACGTGGCACAGCCCCCAGCCTCAGGAGCACGTGCTCCGCTACTTCCTTGTATCCTGATCCTTCCCCAGCTTATCTCACATAGCACTGCCCACTGCCTCAGGGCTTTTCCGTATCCAGCCCATCCCAGTTCACCACAACTCCGCCTACCACAGCCCCTGCCTCCGTACTTCCAAATACCCAGATCTTACCCCGATCTTGCCACAACGTCCACCTCGCAGTAGCCAACATCAGACAGTCCCTCACAGTTTGTATCTCAAAATACTTTGTTTCAGAAGCATGAATCAAAATGTTGCCAACTTTTTAGAAGCTTTGGATGACTTTTGGGAAACTGCTGGGTGTTTTGAAAGATTCCAAACTGCTTCCCTATATGAAAACCTAGTTTTAAAAAGCCAGTGTTTTACGGTGTGATTGCATGGTATAATATCAAGACTATCCATCTACCCAGTTCTATGAGCAGGGTAAGCCTCTACACTCTGGCTACACACTATTAACCACCCTATGGGCAATTGACCAGACAATTTAATTTGAAGTCACCTTAGTAATTATCCTTTCGTCCAAACATGCTCACTTATGGCTCCCTTACTCTAATAAGTTTGATTATTACACAAGAATACATAGGACTAACCATCTTCTGACTTATTACAATAATGTTTATTTCTACCCTAGCTGAAACTAACCAAGCACAGGGGAATTCTGAATTAGTATCTGACTTTAACGTAGAATATGCCACACAACTAGCCACCATATTTTTCTCAGCAGAATATGCTGACATCATTATGACAAACACCACTACTACATTGGGCTTCATTGGAGCTGTGATGGATTGTTGAATTAATCAGTTACTAAATCTTTCAGGATTGAATCTCTTTGCATTATTGCTGTTACTGGGTACATTGTTCTCCTGGTTCTGCTGACTTCACTTTGCATCAGCTCATACAAATCTTCCCAGGTTTTCCTGAAACTATCCCCTTCATCATTTCTTACAGCACAATACTATGCCATCATATACACACACACACACATATATACACATACACACATATATACATATATAAAGTTATGGTGTGTATATATTACATCATATGGTATGTATATATCACATATATGTAGTTATGGTATGTATGTATACATACCATAACTTGTTTAGCTGTTCCCCAATTTATGGGCATTCCCTCAGTTTCTAATTCTTTGCTATCACAGAAAGCTGCCATAGATACTTTTGCACATATGGGTCTTTTCCCTTTTTCTTTGATCTCCTTGGGGAACAGATCTAATAGCAACAATGCTGGGTCAAAGGGTATGCACAGTTTTATAGCCCTTTGAGCATAGTTCCAATTTGTTCTCCAGAATGATTGGACTAGTTCTCCGTTCCACCAACAGAGCATTAGTGTATTTATTTTCCCACATTCCCACCAGTATTTGGCCTTTTTCTTTTCTGTTATTCTAACTAATCTGACAGGTGTGAAGTAATACCTCAGAGTTATTTTAATATGCCTTTCTCTAATTATTAATGATTTAACACATTTTTTCATATGATTTTTGTTTTATTTCTTTTATTTGAAACTTGGATTTCTTTTTCTGAGAACTGCCTGTTTATATTTTTTGAGTTTTGGCCATTTATCAATTAGGAAATAGCTCATTTTTTTTTATAAATTTAGTTCAGTTCTTTATATATTTGAGAAATGAGACATTTATTGGAGAAACTTGCTATAAAATTTCTCCCAGCTTCCTGCTTTTCTTCTAATTTTGGCCACACCAGTTTTGTTTGTGCAAAAACTTTTTAATTTTATGTAATCAAAATTATCCATTTTACCTCCTATAAACCTCTGTCTTGCTTGTCTGGTCATGACCTCTTCCGCTATCTAAAGATCTGACAAATAATTTCTTTTATGTTCCTTAATTTCCTTATGATATTATCCTTTATGTCTAAATCATTTTGACTTTATCTTGGTGTACAACGTGAGTTGCTGATCTATGCCTAGTTTCTGCCAAACTACTTTCCAATTTTCCCAGAAGTTTTTGTCAAATATTAAGTTCCTGCCCCAAAGCCGAGATCTTTGAGTTTATCAAACACTAGGTTACTTGGTCATTTGTTTCTGTATGTTGTATATCTAATATATTCCATTGGCCAACCATTCTATTTTTTATCCACTACCATATTGTTTTGATGATTACTATTTTG